CCAGCCACGCCGCGCTCACCTGCGGAACCGGAGCTAACGGGCAGGTGTGGTGTCAGCTTGCCTCGTTCGTGTGACTTGTCACGCAGTAACAGCTGGCGAATACACTTCATGTGTGGCGGCCGAGCAGAGCGCCTGGGGCTTTACGGTCACTCTCATATTGAGTCACACACGGGGGATGCCCCCATCCCTCAGGACGTTCCACGTGTTTTGGGAGCTGCGAGCCAGGCACCATGGATAAAGACCCCCCCAAAGGCCCCACCTCCAATTACCGTCACCCTGGGGTGCTTTCAATGTTTGAATTTGGGGAGGGGGCACCAATGGCAATTAGAGACGATTGGTGATTCAGTGTATGGCAATGAGAGACAAGCTCCCGACACACCAGGTCCCCATGGGCCCTGCATCCAACACACGTGCTCAGGCCTCCACGGGCTGACGGCAGCTCAGGAATCAGCTCCTCGGGCCCCTCCCCTAACCTCCCCTCCTGAGCACACCACACCTGGGCCCCCTCAGGCACATGGGTGTTTGCTGACTAGAATGAGGGGGAGGGAAGGGCGACAGGGAGCTGAGGCCCATGTCCTCGGGGATCAGACTGGCACACTGCAGGGCCGAGGGTGGCCCAGGATAATGTAGGGATGTACCCTTCCCGCTCCACCTGGGCTCCTCCCCGATTGCATCATGGCTCCCCACCTCTCCCCGCCCCGCCCGCCTGTCATGTGTGACTGTCACTCTATGTGTGCTTTGAGTCCGATGACTGCACGATGACTGCCTGGAGCATCATCCCTTGCCCTGAAGGAGGCTGACTGTTCAAGCGGTTGCCTAGCAACCAGCACGTGCCTGTGGTGGGCTGCTCCGATCCTGGCTGCCCCACCAGTGGGTCCCCTCTTCGGTGACCTTGGATGTGAACTTCTCTGAGCTTCGGTTATGGTTTTCAAACTGACAACTGAGAGCTTAGCCCACAGGGTCCGAAAGAGTGGGGCCCGTTTACTGGGGCTTGGGTGGGGACACAGCGGTGGCAATGTGCAGAATAGACAGTGGTCCTGAGTCACCCAGAGAGGCAAGAATCTGATGGAGCAGGGTCCCCCGTGGCACTGACGACACCGGGTCATTCTCTGTGGGGCGTCCTGGGCACTGGGGGCGCTGAGCAGCATCCCTGGCCCCAAATGCTCGGTGCCAGGAACACGCCAATGTGATAACCACAGATGTCCCTGACACAGCCCAGTGTCCCCGGGGGCAGCCAGCCCTGGGTGAGACCCTGCTGTCGGGGGTCAGGCTCGCGTCTGAGCCAGGTCTGTCGCCCAGGGGAGCACCACGGGGCCTGGTCTCTGACGCGGAGGCCACAGGTTGCAGGGAGCGAGCGGGTCTGGGCCCGGCAGGCTGTGCGGAAGCCCCGTAACCACGCACGCACTGCGCGTGTTTGCCATCGGGAAGGTGGTGGCTGCAGCCCGTGACCTTCTGTGAGCAGAACATTCTAGGTTTTGACTGTACCTCTTGGCAGTCCTTTTAGAAGAACAGCATGTCCACTGAAAGAACTGATAAAAATGTGCATTTCAGCACGCCCGGCTGGGCTGAGCGGCAGCCAGCGGGGGCGGGTGAGCACGCCACCCGCACCGCGGGGCCCATTTGCTCCCATGGGGTCGCCCTCCCGAGATGAAGCTCCCGCAGTGCTCTCGGCAGACGTGCCAGGACTCTCAGAGGTCGGGAGGGACAGAAAGACCCTCTGCGGTCCAGAGGTCACGCGGGCCTCCTGTGCTCTAAGCGGTGTGGCAGACAGCTGCAGACACGCTGGCCCCACCCCGGGCCCCTGCGGCACTGAGGACACTGGGCCAGGTCACCGCTGGGGCGTCCTGGGCTCTGTGGGGCTGAGCAGCTTCCCTGGCCCCACCCATTTGATGCCAGGAGCACCAGTGTGACAGCACAGACGTCCCCAGACACCGTCCAGGGTCCCTGGGAGCAGAGTCACTCAGGTTGAGAATCGCTGACCTAGACCGATGTGAGCAGAGTGCATTTGTCCTCACGTGGGGACCCATCTCAGGTGCCCAACGGTTCCTGTGGCCGGTGGCTATCGTCCCAGAAAGCATAGCTCTGGACACCGCGTTCCACTCGAAGATGATGTCACCTCCCAAGGGAGAGCTGGCACCACGATGGCCTGGACACCTGAGCCCGGTGACGCCTAAGCTGAGAGTCGGTGCACTCAGTGGACAGGGGTCCCAGGTGCCCTTGCCAAAGCTCCGCCCCCACACACTGCCACATGGAGGGGCTGTCGCCTGCCTGACCCGTGGGCAGGAGTCAGCCAGCTGTGGTCCCCTGACCACATCCGAACACAGGAGGGAGAGAAACCCGCAGGGCAGGGTCTCACCCTGGGGTCCTGCCCCAGGGGACCCCGGGCGGTGTCTGAGGATCCCGCAGTGGGTCCATAGTTCTCGCTAGAACGTCAGCTCTGTAAGAGCCAAGCTTTCAGCTGTCCTGGTCACTGCTCATGCCCCAGAGCTGGCCCAGGCGGACACTCGGAAGTCCTTGCTCAGGGAATGAATGAAACCATGTGTCTGGCCAGGACAAGCACAACTAGCCAGGTGACAGTACCCAAAGCGTGCTGCCGGGGGACATCTGGCAGATTCTACACCTGGAGGCCCAAGGGGACTATGGAGGGTGGGTGTCGTTTAAGGGAGTCCCAGAGGAGGGGCTGCATGGGCTGGCCTGTGTGGCCCCCAGCAGCCAGAACCTCTAGCCACTACGAGACGTAGTCTTTTGGGGAGAGTGGCAGCCAGGCCCCCCGCCATCTTGCCGCTTCGCTCTCCTGGTACAGCCTCTGCTCCCCCTGGGCCATGCCAGGAACAGGCTTTGGTCCCAAACAGCAGAGGCTCCAGGTCTACGAGGCAGGGGGCCACCAGGACAGCGACCATGGGGCTCTCGGTGCGGAGTCAGAATGTCCCAGAGAACGGAGAAGGGATGATCTCAGGGCTCCAAGAGGGGCGAAGGGCTGACAGGGTATCTGGGGCGCCAGCTGCACCCACCTTCATCCTGCATCGCCACAGGCTCAAGGCCGAGCGAGATCCCATGAGCCTTCTCCGCCCCCTAGTGGCCACCATAAAACAGCAGCCTCCTGGCAAAAGTCTCTCAGCCTGACACCCCAGAGACAAACCTCACGACTCCCTGGCATCTGCAGAAGTTCAAAGCAGATCAGAGCACTGGTTCTGCCTCCAGGACCAGCGGCGGTGATGCTCACTCAGTGACACACCAGCTCTACGGGAGGTGGCCGCTCTGCAACAGGACACCCTGGCCAGGCTAGCTCGTCGTCTCGGACCCTTGACCTGGTTCTCTGCCTGACGAAGATGAGTGCCTGTGCTGCCCCCGGCGCTGTGGGGGACTGGATTCAAGAACGCCCGGCCACCAACAGCGCCTGGCAAACAGGATGAGCTCGACAAGTGATCGTTAAAGAAAGGCCTGGCACTACCCACTTGGGGGTGTTCCCTTTGTAACACCTGCGGGACCCGCCTGCAGCGAGCGGCTCTGCAAATAATTCTGTCTCCCTTCATGGTGCCCTCGGCACTGCGGACGCCTTCTCCACGCGGGCCCATCCCGGCCTCTGTGGGGGGTTGAGTGACCTCCCTGGTCACACCCCCCACTCGATGCCAGGAGCACCCCAGTCGTGACAGCCACACATGTCCCGTCATGACAGCCACATGTCCCCAGTTATCACAGCCACAGGTATCCCCAGCCATGGCAGCCACAGACGTCCCCAGTCGTGACAGCTACCCGTCCCCAGCCATGACAGTCACAGGTGTCCCCTGGGGTGTGGAATCCCCCCTCAGTTGTAGGCCACGGGGGACGCATTTGGGACACCGGCCACGTTGTGACGCGCTGTCAACGTGTCAGTGAGACTCGCGTGCCACACGGCGCTCAGACTGCTGGGACGCTGTCTCCAGATGATGTCCCAGATCGTCCTCCCTAGAGAAGTTCTCGGTAGCGCGGATGGAACTGTAATTAAGCGGCCGTTTTCCCTCAGCGGTGATGACACAGATTTGGGTCTGCGATAAAGACGAATGGGTCCCTTTAGACCCCAACTGAACACAATGCAGGAGAATTGGTGTTTGCAACCTTGGAACTGAAGACTGTCCCCAGACACAACAGCCATGTGTCCACACGACGTCTCCAGTTCCCCACCGGTGAATTAAACACAACCCCAATCAAAACTCCAGCAGAATTTCTGTTACAGACCGGAAGCTTAGTTTAAACATCGCGTGAGAGACAAAACTTCACAACAGCAGCAAAGACATTTACGAACGAAGGAGGAACAGGAGCGAGACCTCCCCGGCTGGCAGCACAACGACCCACCGCCACAGCGAGTGCGACAGGCAGGCGGCCGCGCAGAGCACGTGGCGACATCCGCTCATTGTCACGTTATTTCCTCTTCCCACGTTATAAGAGCCACTCGAAACCCTTCGGGGAAGACGCCCAGAGATCAACACACAGATGGGAGCTAAGAGACCAGGGCCCGGGCCTTAGCCTCGCTCCCAGTTGGTTAAAAAGAACCTTCCCGAGGCCACTGCAGTGCCCCCGGTCCGCCAGGGCGGGTGACGGGTTTCAGATATTTCTCATGTCCAGCGACTTAGCTCTGTTCTTGGCAATGCTTAAGGACGGTCACCCTCCACGCAAACGGGAAATGGGGGGGAGGATGTGGCTCCCAAATTAGCCTCTCCAGGATGAAGGTAAGACCGTGGAAAGGAGAGGGCACACCTGCGCGCAGCCTGGCCCCGTCCTGGGGCGCTGGGACCAGCCCATGGCCCTGCATCACGGGCCCCAAGAGAACGGACGGCCCCTGTCACTCCCGTGTGCTCCTGGCGGACAGGACAAACCCTCAGAACCGAGCCAGGCTGAAGGTTCAGGCATGCCTGGAGGGACGCCTCAGCGGCAAAGCAACCTCACATCACTCATCCGGGCTCAGGGAGCCGAGCGACCCCCGTGCATGGCAGATGTGGAGAGAGAAACACCGTGCCACCGACCTGTGCGCGAGGCCTGGCTGTCTTCGGCGCCGAGGTTCCAGCAACCGACGGTCCGCACCCTGGAAGGAAAATGCAACATTTGAGTTGGGTGTCGCATGGCCAGAAATGCGGTGTTGCCGCGTGCCGGGCAGACAGCGGTGAAGCTATCTGGGGTCCTGCCTGTCAGCTACTCGGCCGGACCCTGAAGACAGCGTGAGGATGCCTTGAGATGTGGGGAGGGCACATTTAGAGGGCAATGGGAGACCCAGATGTCACCATGTGGTCCAAAATCAAACTGATGAGGGGACCACGCTTCCCAGAGCCGGTTCATAAAAGACGTTCCCCGCGGCCTCAGACATCCAGCTGACCCCGGGTGACCGCCGCACCGGGTCTGCCAGAGACCCGACGACTGACCGCACCGTGGACTCCTGGGGCAGAAAGAGGGGACACTAGTGACATCCGAAGAGAGTGGAGCCGAGTTCACAGAGCTGTCCCCATGTCTGTCTCTCGGTTGTCACAAACGCACTGTGACTATCAAAGATGTGACCGCTGGGAAAACTGGGCAGATGGGAACTGGCTGTACTATCTTTGAAACTCTCCTGAAAATCTCTAAAATAAACAGTGCCTTTAACAAAATAACTCGACAAAAATGTCTGAGTGTGGCTTCCTCCCCCGAGGTCAGGCAAGCAAGCAGGCAGGACAAGGCCAGGACGGAGAAGCGACACCCCACTGTCGCCTGCAGGTGGCGCCGCTGCCCCAGGAATGCTTCACGCCCGGGGACCCAGCGGGCGGCCTCTCCCGCCCCACTTGGGACCTGCCGGGGCGGCCAGGCCAGAGGCATGCCAGCTGGGACGAGCGCTGAAAGGGCCGGAGCAGCAGGCGCACGGCCTGGAGGCCGAGACTCGCCTCAGCCCTGCAGGACGGATGCATGTGATCCCTCAAACGTCTATTTTTGAATCAATTAAAAACTCACGAGAGGTTGCAACCCTAGAAAAGAGGGGTCCCAGACACCTTTCACTCAGGTCCCCAGATGGTGGCTCCTTACACAGCAAAGGGACGTTCTCGAAACCAGGGAACAGCGACTGGCGAACAAGGCCATTTTTCTGATGGTCTTACCGAGATGGGATCCTCATCACGCAACTCACCTGGTTTGAAGTGGCTTTTAGTATATTCACAAAGTCATGCGACCATCACTGCGATATTGGATATTGCATCACCCTTAAAAGACACCCTGTCCTCATCCTGTCACACCCGCCCTGTTCCCAGACCCTGACGAACCCACTTCCTGTCTGTGGACGTGCCTGTCCTGGACATTTCACGTAAGTGGAATCACACACTGTGTGTCCTTGTGTGTCTGGCTTCTCGACCGAGTGCTGTGTGTTCAAGGTCCATCCACACTGTGGCGAGTGCCAGCGCCTCCCCCATGTTCATGGCCGAGTAATACTCCCCTGTGTGGACGGGCACGTTCGTCCATCGTTCACTGATGGGCACTTGGGCTGTCCCCATCTCACAGCCACTGTGGCTCCTGCTGCTGTGACCACGGGCGTCTCATGAACTGGCTTCTCACTCTGCCTTCACATCTACCAAGTGCAAATCTCCCCGTCCCCAGCCATCTAACACCAGCTGCTGGCCATTGTCCTTGAGCCCTTGAACTTGGACTTGAACACTGAGGTGACCATCGCAGACCTCTCCCCCGTAGCCCAGACCAGCTTGGGCCGCAGCAGGAAGCAGCATGGACAAAACACAGCCCTGCAGCTCCGTCCCCAAGGCCAGGAGACGGCGGGCTGCGAGCCGCACCAGCTGGCGCCAGCCCGTCCCCGTGACCTTCACCGGCTCGCTCTCCCAGACAAAACACTGGGCTTTCACTTTCCCTGCCAGGGTGGATCCAAGGCCCCAGAAGGGCCAGCAGGGGAACGGGGAGGGGCCCCACAGGACCCGCTGCAGAATTTGCAGAGCCAGCAGCAACATGAAGCAGTGGGACCCTTGGCTCAAAATCAACCAGGGATGTCCGCGGGAGGGACCCCCGCTCACTCGTGTCCTCGGTGTCCCCACCTTGTCCACACACCTCTTTCTCTTCTAAGTTGAGATGTAATTCACATACTAGAAAATTCACTCTTAGACAAGGTCTAATTCAGGGGCCTTGGGGCTACTGACCAGGTGTGCCACCATGGCACTATGTAATCCCAGGACACTGTCGCCACCCAGAGGAGACCCCGTGCCTGTCGGCATCATCGGGTTCAAAGCGGAGTGTCCCTGTGGGGGCGAGACCCCCGTGGCTCGGTGATCTCTGGGAGTGTGTGCGCTCGGTGCTGTGGGAACAGCTGCGGGGTCGCAGGGTCTGGGGGACAGCAGGCCGCCCCCCGAACTGGGTGAGGGTAGGCCCGTTCCCAAGAGCCTGGCCTAAAATGAGGCTGACACCTGGGACCCCACTGCATCCCTAGGGGCAGGTCACAGGGGCACAGTCGGTGCAGGCTTGGCCTGGAGCCAGCCCTGTAATGCAGGCCCCTATTCTCAGCTGCAGACTTCAGCTGTGTCATCTGTCACCTTGAAAAACAGAAACCATGATGTTGAACCAGGGTCTTTCTCCACTAATTTCCTGGTGGTTTCTGTTTTCCTTGTAATTCAGAAAAAGTCCAACAGATTGGTCAGACTGTCAGCCTAATGTCTCCAAGTGCTGGACGGCGAGCAGGTGGCTGGACCCCTAGGTCCCAAACCTGGATTTTTAAAACTGCCCAAAACAGGGCCATAAACCTGGCTCTTAGGGGGATGGCGGGAAATCCCTGGTAAGGACAGGCCCGGAGGAACCGATTGTTCTGGACCCGTCAGAACCCATCGCCAGTAAGTCGGGGAGGAACCAGCCCAACAGACACAGGACGGCACCTCCGGGCAGGAAGCCAGCAAGTCACAACCCGCTTCTCCGTCAGAGCTCCTAGAGCTTTTCCAAAGGATTTGCACCTAGACATGAGTCAGGGCAGGCCTGCTGTGTGTGAATGCTGCCGGCCCTCCCCCTAGAATTTGGGGTCCCTGCACTGCTGACATTCGGGGCAGAATGTTTTCGAGGGGGATGGTATCCTGGGCACTGTGAGTTAAGTGGCATCCTTGTACCTACCCACTTGATGCCAGGAGCACCCCAAGTCATGATGACCACAGATATCCCCAGACGCTGCCCAGCGTCTCCTGCAGGGGATGGGGGGACACTTACTACAGCGTCCCAAAGCTTCTGTTCGAGATTCTATGCCTGTCTGGACACAAGAGCTGTTGTCCCCCATTGGAGGGCAAGTCCCCTTCGGGCAGGACCCTGTTATGAGTGTCACGAACCGCGGGAGGGCTGGGGCCCAGGGCGCTCATGGGGACTCGGGGCCACAGGGGCCTGTGGGCGGCTCAGGTGGCATGTCACATGGTTGTAACCGGTCAACCCCAAAGACAGGGGACCCTGGGCAGGTTTCAAGACACACCTGAGATGGTGGTGATTACTCTCTTGGGGCAGTGGCGAAGGGACACCCCGCCCATCATTCCTGTCAAACACAAACATGTTTAAATTGTGTGCTCTCCACGGGGGAGGGGGGAGTTTGGTTCTTTGGCCAAGGGACAAGGAAGTTGCAGATATCGCAATGGCCGTGGCCCTCCAGGGGCCCCAGCGCATAACAGACACACAGTACGTCAGTGCTATGAGAATTTCCTACGGGTGGCTGATAAACACCGGCTTCTTCTGAGGAAGAAAAACCGCATTCCACACTAATTATGTGGCAGGTTGTCACTGGGAAAAGGGGGTGGCGCCACGTAGTGCCGTGGGGGCAGGCCCATGCGTGCTGGGTGTGGCGATGGCACCTGGTGGCTGCGTGTTTGATGGCCCGTGGCTCTGTTTTCTCAGCTGAGGCAGCGCGAAGATAACCCACTTAGGGGGTGAGAAAAAGGCCTATCTGACCACATTGCAAATCCTGCGCACACAGTAGGTGCTCTGAGAAGCGTTTCTTTATCCCAGAAAAAGAGGCACAGAAATAAACTTTGTTCCTGGCCTGCCCGCCGGTGACCCCGCTTCCTGGAAGGCACACCTTTGTCTAATTCCTCCCCCCCACCCCGCTTAGGCCAGTGACTACAGCAAAGGTGAGCACGTGCCACTTGTGACAATATCTTGCAGAGGGCTGTGACTTCCGCTTGGCTAACAGATTCAGCTATGATGACGCGATCAGCCCGGTCGGCGAGGTCCATGTGGCCTCCAGCTGGCAGTCAGGGGCCCCAGAGGGACTGCATCCTGCCGACGGCCACGTGGGCTCAGAAGGGGCAACTTCCCCAGCGGGCTTTCGGAGGAGACCCCAGCCCCAGTGACGCCTCGATCGCAACCAGTGAGAGACCCTGAGCAGAGACCCAGCTAAAGCACCCAGACTCCTGACCCACACACACGGTGACACACTAAATGCATGTTGCTTTAGGCCACGACACTGGGGTGATCTGTTATGCAGCGTTCGCTAACTAATAACAGGAAGCCATCTAAATCATTCATACAGTGAACTAAAAATATCTTAACACTTACTGAACACACGCGTCAGTCTGCGCTGGGCGTTTTTATTATACGTGCTCTCTTACCTATAACAAATACTCCCACTCACTCCACTCTGCGCCCATGCCACCGGCCTGTGGGTTTCCGAGGGGACCCCCCCCCACCATCAGACTGTCAAATTCTCTCGTTTGCCCTGGGACGCTGTAGAAATGTATTTGTATGATTAATGAAAATAAAACACATCATGTGGCAAAAAAGAAAAAAAAAAACGAACCTTATGAATGAAGAAACTGAGTCAGAGAAAGGATGTAAACTGCTCAAGGTGACGAGCGAGCACAGAGGGACCTGAAGCCGAGCCAGACAGACCCGGGCACGTGTTCCTACCCAAGGCCCGGTCCAGGCGACAGGTAACAGACATTAGGAGATGACCTGGGGCGGGGGCGGCAAGCGCTGGCCCCGCCTGCTTTACTACTAAAGTTTTACAGGCACGCAGCCACGCCCTTTCACGTGTCGTTTGTGCTCCAGAAGTGCTGGCCAGGAGTGACACATAGCACGCGGCCTGCAAAAAGCCAACTATTTATA